CCTCCGATCATGAATTCCTTTTTCGTCTGTAGCGTATATATAATTTACTCTGTTATTTTAATTTGTAACTCCCACTGAGGAGGATTCGAATATATGACTGAAATGTTTGGTTCTTGTAATTATGTTATTTTTGCGTTACTTTATTTCACAATATACGCTTGTACAACAGTGCTGGCTTTCACTTGCCTATCTTGCCGAGTTAATTAAGAACTCTGCAGTTTGAATCGGAAAGTAACGCGAGGATGCTAGCAGTGATTTTAACGTTAAAGTTTGATACTTCAAAACGTTATTCCAACGCCGTTGATTCAACCCAACGAGTGCAATTTTATCGCTATCAGAAGCGAGAGAGGCGATTATCATCGCCAGTTCCCGCTTATCTTCTGTGATGACTCGTACTTCAAAATCAGCGAAGTCGTCAGATCGCGAGCGTGCTCGCGGTCGTGATTTAATAATCTATATCGCGACATTATATTACAAAAATCTCGCGAATCATGAGCGAACGGCGCGCGAAATAAACTGTGCGCCGTTCCAAATGGCAAATGAATGCGTCGTTTAATAACCGATCACGCCACCGCTACGTAACGATGTTTTTTGCCACCTAAGAGAAAAACAAACATCGCCCCAGACTTTATTGGTGGCGAAGTACGTTGCTAGTGTCGCTTTGGTTCGCCTTAGCAGAAATCGTGTTCGTAAAATTGCGAAATGACCCACAAGGCAGCAACGTAAGAGGAAAAAAGAAAGAGAGAGAGAGAGAGAGAGAGAGAAAGACAAGTCTGCCATCTCCTTTAGAGGAAGATGCGCTGCACGTGCGGCGGTGATGCGAGGGTGTCAACGTCCCTGATGCAGCTGCAAAGAGTGACATCATCTATGCATAGAGCGAGACGAAATTCCGATCCACTTGTTAATTATCTTGTGCTTCATCAGACGCGGTTCATTTTACCGTCTGATTGTCGTCATTGCCACTTTGTGCCAAATAACCATTCGACATAAGTACGACATCCTGAAATAAAAATCATTCCCGTTCGGAGACGTCACTTTTATCGCGTATTTGACGCGACTTTTCTCGACGAAATATTCTGCAATGAAAGAATCAATACTTCACATTTATTTCGCTCCCCGTGTCCTCAATCATTCGATACTTCTATGTTTTTTGTAGTATCCATTTACTAAACAAATGGTTCTTCGCTTGTAATTATAATTAAGATAGCAAAATATCAAATGAATAATAGAATATAATAGAAACCGTCGATAAGCACCTACGTAAAGACGTCAATAAGTACGATAACTAATCTTTCCTGCGTTTGATATGCTATTTAAAAATCATAGATGATAGCGAGTGATTCAGTATATAACTTCATAATTCAGAACGTGTCAAAAACATTATACTTCATGAATATGTCGCGAACCCTAAACCGTGTGACAACGTGCCCGACTTGATACATGAGAAAATGAGAGAAAAGAACGGGTTCATCCTCGAAGGTCAAAGGGTTTGAAAAGCGGCCTGAAACACCGTGGACACTATATTCGCGAGAGCGCGGTTGTACGAACGAACGGATCGGCACGGCTGAGCACGCGGATGTCTGCTGATGTGCACGTGATTCCAGCGTGCCACGGGTCCGCGGCATCGACCGACTTCCCCCTCTTTGTGGTGCACCGACACAGGCGTACTAACGCACACATCCTTCTGTCAGCACAACACCTGACGCGAGGTACCTACGGACCTAACCCTGAAGTACGTTATCCGAGATATACAGGGTGTGCCAAGGAGAAATCGTGGCACTCTAGAAATAGGTTCTTCAAGATAAGAAATCACAAATCTCAGTCGAGAAAAGCGAGTTACTCGTCGAGTTACGACGGTCTTGATAAAGATGATGATCTACTTCCGGATTACTCGCGCTCTGTGAGCGTGATATCGTCCGAGGTCGATACATTTCACAAAAGAGCAGTACAATTTAAAATCGAACTGAAAATATATCGTCTAATTAAAGTCTAAATAAAGCACGGTACGCGCTGGTACTCGTTGTGGGTATTATTGATTTCGTCCACTTTCCCTATTACTTTACGACTCCCTCAGAGGTGTGATCCCAGGTACATGACAAGTTCGCCTAGTTTAACTGAGGCGTAAGAGATAGGTCACGCGTGCTTGTCAATCCGACGGAAAAACGCGAAACCAGAATTAAAGTGGAATACATCAAGAAACATGAAACTGCCGTTACGTTACTTAGCTCGCTCGGTGTTATGACAGTGTTATTACTGAGCGGGACATTTTAACAGAGCATCAAGTTTTAATCGCATCATCGTCAAGCCACTGTTTGAAATTCGATATTGTTGAAGGTACACACGCGTCTTCCGCGACGCGGTCTACTTTCCTCGTCTCTGCCGGCATTGTGACAGTTGTTGGCTCTCGATACATCGATCGCTCTTCATTAGTCGCTCGATGTTGCATTCTTCGACGTCCTATTATCGACAAACATGCGAAATCATACAACACGCATCTGCCTCCCCCTTTCTATTCGCTCCGTGAGCATCTATTGCCCCAAAGGAAGATTTCAGATCGTTGATTCTATAATTAGACGTTCGCAACTGTGAGCGACAATCACTTTGAAATATCCATGACGTGATGCGGCGTAAAAAAAGGTTGCGCGTTCTCTCAAGAACGCAAGGTGGGACGTGCGTATGCGCGAAGAAAACAAAGTCAGCGTATGAAACTGTAGACTCGCATTTTAAGTTACAGCATTCAGCAACGCAGAATGAAGAGTGACTGAAACATTTTCAGAGCTCCCGGTGCCTCCTCAATTGAATTTCTTCTCGCGAATGTTCGCGCGATAATAATTAAATTATTCGAGTTTTCTGAAAAGCGAAAGACGACACACGCGGACGAACGTGTCCCGCACGAGATATAATCGAATGCAATAAACGATCGTTAAATGTGAAAGTCCGCGGAAAAGGAAATTTCAGTCGCTATGGCGTTTTCTCTACTCTTGAGCGTTCACTATGCTCGCGCAATGCTCTCAACTGACTAGTAGAGTACGACGCGCTGCGAACGCGCGAACAAAGACTGACAAACTGGGTAACCTCCTTTTTCAGAATAAAATAACGCGTTGAAAGGACCAGTGCCGAGTTTTACGGATATTTCGTAAATCTTGAATTTGCCGTTGCGAGGATTCTCGACATTGCAGAATTTGTGTAACGTTTGCTGTACGAGCATTACACGCACAACGTAAGACGTAAACAACTACATAATACTTTTTTATGATAATTTTTTTATCAAACGTCTCATTTTCGTTTTTTTCTTACGCTCATTCATTATTCAAGTTTAAATGTCAGATTATACGTTAGTCTCATACATGAATTCTAATGTTATTTTGATAAAACATCTGTGCTGGGATTCTGTAACACGTTATTATTGGAATTAACGATAGTTTCGTTATCATTTCTACAGTATACAAAAGCTGCGCAACGATAACGAAACTATCGTTAACTCCAATAACGAGTCACAAAATCCCAGCACTGGAGAGAAAATGTATAATATCCACGGTCTCGGGCTCAGTCGTTTACTATAATGAGGTGAATTAAAATCCGCAGTCGGCGAACGAGCTTATATAATTACTGACAAAACACGCCTCATAATTAATCATGTATTCTTGTTTGAAATTGCGTGTTATGGTCAGCGCTATGAGTCACTTTCTTGATTTTTGTGCGTCTTCGCGGCGGAACGAAGGAAATCTATTTTTGAGAAGCGTCAAATCGAACATGCGCTTCACGCATGCTCCTCGTGGACAAGCAGTTTCTTTGTCTTCAACGCCGCGTACAGCGCATGGATCTTTCTGTTCACCGCAATCATCACCGCAATGCCAATCCCTCTGTCGTTTGTGCAACTAATTGATCGAATCGACTATCAAGTATAGAGCAAAATTTCACGCAGTTCCCGAAATTTGTTGTCGTAAATTTTTGTGCGTGCTCGCCAATTGCGGCACTTCACTGCGAACTTTAAATCGATTTTCCATTCGGCATTCTCTTAGCCTCTGGAAGTCGACGCATACTTTGTGCATATCTCGCGTTTTGCCACAATACTTGTTAATTAGCTGCCTACAAAAATAAAGTCTATGACGCGCACAAATTCTTTATTGAAGAACTTGCTTTATCGCACGTATGTTTCGTGGAACTAGGTCAAATAATATAAGCACTCTGGCAGACTATATCTACTTGACTATAATAGAAGAAGATCTACGGATGACGTGGAAATAGAAGCGACGTGCTGTATCGCTTGCAAAACGTCGGGCAAAAAATCATCTTTTAAGATGACAAAGAGTCACGCGAGTAAATATAATCGGAAAATCGGGATTATTACTTGGTAATCTCTAATCGACGCGATAATCATTAATTATCACCCAAATTACTAACCACTACAACATTTTTATTAGAAACGATCAAGTCTGGGACGTTCAAAGAAATGCACAATTATTAATTATTATTATTTGTATGTACTCACGAAATATCTGTTATCTTCGACGATAAGCACTATGACGTGATAAAAAATGTTTGGCCATGCCGCTTCATTAGCGTATAAGGTGTCTCAAAATGTGCGCTCGTGCATCACGTAGAGTGAGATTTTTAATTTAATACAACTGTCCTCGACACAAATACTGAAGTGACAATAGTTTCGGTATCATGATCGATTTAAATTGCAGGATATTTAGCGATTGAACTCAGAATGTGTTAATAATAAATAATCAAATCACGTTCTTTCGTTGATTCTAAGTACGTTTTTTTGAGGAACAAAAATTCAAATTAAACGTCCCGAAAGTTTTAATAACGCGTATAGCTCATAGTGAAATCAAGAGTTCCTAGCTCAAAAATTACAGATAATTCTTCACGTTTATCTAAACCACAGTAAACCACAATAATTCCCGTTGTTCTTGTGTTAAATCCTTTAACTCCGTGCCAAGAAAATCTGATGACGTGAGCTTAGGAGAAGTCAGCTGGGAGATTATTATCGAGAAACAAGAAATCTCAGTCTTACGAGTCTCGTGATGTGCGCATGTTCGTTCGATATCATCACTTATTTGCAGCTTATATAATTGCGCGCATAAAACAACTTCCCTTATAAAAAGACACGCGTTACGTCTGAAGAATTTTATTTCTCATTTCAAAAACAGGGATCACACGTGTACAGTACATTTTATAAAAATTTAACTCGTCCCCGAGCAGGTTGCAACGTCAATTTGCAACAAATTGCGAACGGGATCTTCATATGGAGGACATTGAAGATCAACGTGATCGAAACAGGAAGGAAGTAGATAAATCGTTTAGTTCCCCTTCAACGACATTAATTTTCGCATCACGAGAGCGTAATCGTGTTTAAGTGTCTGAACGGAGCGGTATACCCGATATCTGTGTACCTGCTAGCAGACGTCTTAATTAACATTTTCGATGTTTGAACAAGTGATCATCGGGTTGCATTTTATGCTCGGATTGTTACAGAAATACTCAAAAGCTGTTTTTACGATCATCGCGATAATCTCTCCGCGATCATTATCGGCGATATCAATTAATGAACACTCCTATAAAACGATCGTTAATTTGCAGATTGTGTTTATATCACAAACTTTACAAAGCACACTTGATAACGCGAACGCGTGCACATACGCCCCTTAGCGGCACAAGTCCGCGATAAATATTGCATATTTGATTTTTATTGGGGTTAAACGCCGATTAAACTGTTATTTGATCATCTCATGAGACTCATATAATTCGCCACACATTATGTCTCTTATTTTGCGAATGCGTCGATTAATATTTCTGAGTATTATTTTGAATAGCGCGCGACCACTTGTTAATCAGATATTCTCAGTACTTCCTCGAGATTGATGACTATTAAAAATTATCGTGTCTGTGTGTATTATAAACATTATTTTTTTGTTATATATATATATATATATATATATATATATATATATATATATATATATATATATATATAAATAAACTTAATTTTCTCTCGACTTCCTTGAGTAGAGTCAAGACCGAGTAGAACTTGTAGGCGAAAACATACCGAGTATAGGTCAAATTATTTTTGCGGCGGAATGACGTCAATAGATCTGACGATCGTCTTACAATTGTAATACACGTTTCGTTGGTCGCATAACCGCGGTGTAATCACGTTGTAACCTCGATTCGCGGCTATTTCTGTAACGCGCTGAACCATACATTTCCGGAGTCTCGGACATTGTATTGCATTGCACGTTCGCAAAACAGTGAATATGTAAGACGGGCGTGCTCGACTTAAAAATTTGCGCGATAAGAACGATGTCAACATCCTTGCGAATCAAGCTCGTGGTCAGCTCGTCGGAAATAGCAACAACGCATAGCTCGTACGAAGCTTGAATATGTGCTTCCAGCGTAGATTGGTCTCGCACTTGCTATCCTTGACAGCGGGAAAAATAAATGTTATCTACTAACGCAGTGCACGAATTTAAAAGTATCCCAGATAAGTCGCGAATCAACAAACAAATTATTATGCCGATAGAAACCAGATAGCTCAATTAAAGAATTACCAAAGCAGCATATATCTTTAGTTTTATCATTGCACGCGACGTGAGAAAGAACTATTGTGTTTCATATTTCTAACTTGAATTTATTTCCCTGAATGTCAGTGAAAGTATGTATGTTCTTGTGTCAATGACGCTTCTAGTAAGTAATCTTGAAGTGCAATAAAAACGCGTCGGTAGAATCGACATATAAAATTTTGAGGGAAAAATAATAAACTTACTTGGTACTCGAACTATGATAAGGTTAATCACTACGATAATAAGAGATATCAGTATTTAAAATTGATAATCGAAAAAAACATGAACAAAAACAGTGATTCAATCTTTATTTCACGTGTTATTTCACCTCCATTTTAAGAAAATAGATTGATATTATCACTTTAATCTTGGTTCTGTTGAAATATCTGATACTAATATCATGGTCGAATATTTTAATAAAAAATATCAATGCTCTCACGAAAATCTGTCAGAGCTGCTGCTATTAAGAAATCTCTCGGTACAAGTTTTATGATTGCATTGTGATTACCGCAATGGACTTATTACGCGATTTTATTGTTAACGCTATATATTACCGCACTCGATTAACGTTGATGATCGCATTTTTTATATTGCAACATATGACGAGTAAAAACTAATAATAACAGAGTTAACATAAGCGAATCGCAAAAGAATAAAAATTTCTAATGAGACTTTATTTAACGATACAGCAGTTATTTTCTAGATATCAATAAAATGATAAACTTTTCAATGTAAATCGTTGTTATTGTTATAAAAAATTATTTTATTTACGTAAATGATATAAACGCAGTGATGCGATTATAAATCATACTCTTGTCATGTAGATAAGCGCGTTGTCAGATGATTAATGAGTTTACAAACGAAGAATTACCGTTTGCTAATAAGCCAATGTATTTCATGCAATGAACATAAGTGTAAATCACATCGCATTTTGCACGTTATAAATATTCAACAAAACTGAATTCGCCGAATGAAGCTATTTACTGATGATACGGTCTTCAAAGTTGTTTCTTGTGCAAGGACAAATTGTTATTAATTGTTCACCTTACCTCACTTCACGTGATGTATCTCAGCAACCAGAAACACGGATGGCGAGGCGTAACTTACTTAACAGTCTATACTCTGTAATATACCTCGACGTCGTGGTTTTCAGGTGAGATGTAAGTTAATGTCGAAGAGAGATGGGAAGGGATAATCACTGGAGCTGCAAGATGTTAGGTAATCTCAGGCAATTAATAAGAACATATAATTAAATAAATGATAAATTATGATATACGGAATATTTCACAAATAAGAGAAATAAATTTCATAAATTAGAGAAATAAATTTCATAAATAAGAGGAATCTGTTAAAAGAAAAAAGTCGATTTCTCGTGGAGGAGAAATTTGTCATTTGAGTGCGACACCGCGTGAAAATGAAAAAAAAAGTTAATTTCGTTATCGTCACGTTCAGAAACAAAGAAAGAGCTCCTTTGCGTTGTATGAACACGAGCACCACAATTCACAGTCGTGCTAGTGTACTTTAGAACAGACAGAGAAAAACAACCGTTGCACGTGGTCTGCGAGTGCTACGCGTGCCTTCCTCTTCCTACCCCTCGTTCACTTTCCCTACTACCTTGCCAAAGTGCGCCGGCCTGTCACGGTATAAAAACGAACGCGCGCCGACGCGACGAGTTAGTGCGTCTCGCGCGATCCATGAGAGCTGGATTAGCAATTTGCAAGTTGTCGTTTACCAAAAACATCATTGCGAATTGCCGTCGTGAAATTCGAATTTGCGCTGAGAACGATACGGACAGCAAATCTCGCGCTTTGATTATTCACGGTAGTGCGCGGAAGAGTGCGAGATTTATTTTGAGTGAAAAAGTGATCTTGAAAAATATATCGATCGCAATTTTGAGTTGATTATGCCAGTCGAGTTGGACGCCATGGCGCCTGTAGCTCCTGCATCCTATAATGGGTAGGCGATTATGAGAATTTGTTTTTAATTATATCAATTCTTCGCTTTGTTCTCTTTCTTTCCGTGATAGAATGATGATTAAGTGATAGTTCAAATACTTTTTGGAATTTGGTATATTCAGTATATTATACTATTTAAATTATGAAAAAATATTTATTTGTTTGACACGCTAAATTTTAGAACATATCGTACGTTCACAACGAGAGACTGTGTATAAAATTCATTTGAATTTGTTTTCTGCGTACACTTTTAACAAAAACACTGCAGGATCTTGCGGTTGTTACGCTTTCCATTCTTCGTGACGTTTATATTCTTCACGTATGTTCGAGTGTTTGACAAGGAGAGAGATTAAAACAGCTGATTCGCGCAACTGACAAGTTTCCCCAACCCAGGTATACTGACGCTAATGCCACACTTCCGCCAATTTTAGCGTCGACATTAAGACCGCGTCTCGCGCAACTCTAGAAAAAACACAATGCGTCATTGTTGATTAATTGCGAATGCTAATAACAGTATCCTCCTACTAACGATGGTCATTTATAACGTTTTTTTTTATTTCACCATGACGCGAAAAAGCTACTTTCTAAATCTTTTTGTTAATCTATTTGGAGTTAAATATAGTTCAGGCAGATCTCTCTCTCTCTTCGTTACACGCTACACTAACTCTACTATCATGAAGCTATCATTCAACATAATTACACGGAATAATACTGTATTATCATAATATGATGTTGACATTTCTTTTATCAAGAGGAATTTCACAAAGATTTCGCCCAAGTTATCGCAAACATAAAGATAAATTAAGTTAATATAATTAACTCTACGATATCAGCTCATTGCGGATATCGTAGGAGAATTAACTGCCAAGAGAATTGACTATTGTGTGTGTAGACGAAGTAAAAAGATAAAGAAAATCATGTAACGCGCGAGAAGGAAGCAAGCGTTAGATGTGTGAATGCGTGTGTGTGAACTCGCGATTGACTATGCGGAACTGATCGGTCTGATCAATAGAATATGTCTGATCAATAGAAAATCAGGGACCTCGCGAGAAAAAAGGACTAGTGGATCGCGACTATGAAAAATTTAATTATGTAACAATGTATCGTTAATTTTGAATAATTCTGATTCATCGCACGTGCACAATCCATAAATCCAATCAACGTCTCGCTCTGAGAGTTAACGACGCCGATTACGGGTTGCAGGGAGAAGAAGATGAATAAGCTGTGTCGGCAGCTCTCGATTGAGAGCCCTAGCGTGACCGGACGGGAGTGCGTATTCAGCTTCGACGTGCCCGTGCCGGACGTACCGACGCACGGCGCCCGCATCAGAGTGATGTGTGCTGGAGCGTGCTACCATCCTCGCCGTTCGCCGAGTCTGAACAGCCTGACGTCGGTGTCGAGTGGCAGCAGCCTGGTCACCGACGTGTCCATGGAGAGCGACTACCCCGTGTCGCTGCCACATCATGGGGTGCGCGATGCTGCTCTGTTCCCCGGCTACGAGGTCGCTGGTGTGATCGAGTCGTTCGGTACTGAAGTGCCCGAGGACTGCGAGCTCGCAGTGGGCGATCGTGTGATCCTTTATCCATACGACGGCATTCCTAACGGCTACGTCGAGTACCTGGTGGTGCACGACCTCAAATACCTGATTAAGATCCCGGACAGTATGTCGCTTAGCGTGGCGGCTATGCTTCCGGCCGGCGCGCTCTTGGCAATGAACACCGTCTTTGCAGCGCACGAGCATGTGCAGGTATGACTTAATATGATTATCTTCGCAAAGCAGTCAGTGACGTATCTTATTGTTGTGTACTTTAAGCGAACAGAGTAAAACGTTGGCGCTGTAAGATAGGTTCGTGTCCAGGTATGATGGAGTAATTAAACGGTGAAATGTTGCAGGCACTGCTGAAGGAGAGAGGTGAGAAGAGCGTGTGCAAGATTCTGATAGTTGGCACAGGTGGCCTCGCTCTGTGGGCGCTCAGAATCGCGTCGTATCACTTCAGCAATATGAGGGATAGAGTCACCACCACGGTGGCTAGTCTTAAGGACGACGGTCTTCAAATAGCCCAGGAGTTTCAACGGTAAGCTTCATGATGGACTTCATTAGACAGTCGTGTGGCAAGATAGAATAGTTACTAGTTCAGTGGGCTATTTTAATTCATCGACACGATCATGAGAAATTGTGATCGATTGGACTTATAAGACATGTAATCAAATTTTCTGATGAATTTTTCAAATTCATTTTTGTGATCAAAAACATATTTAAATATAGAAGAATTTATATTTAAATAAATATGTCATTATAGTACCCACCGAATAAATATTCTTTTATATATATTGAGATATATTTTTTCTTAGTGTATTAGCTCTTTTTCTGCACTTGAAGGGAAACTCTAAAACAATTTAAAGAAAATTTCTCTCAGACAAAAACGTGTTTTCAAAATTAAGGCTCGTATCGAGCGTGTATATACACGGTTCTCATTAATTGGCACAACCGCTGAATATACGTGTCTTAAGAACTTGTCCGCGCGCTCGTCACTTCATCCGATTTATTCAGCAACAGTCGACACGTCGGTTACAGAGTGAACGTGGTGCAGTGGAGCGAAGATCTCTACGAGAAGCAGCTGATCGAGCGTACGATGGACGCGTGCCAAGGCCAGGTGGACGTGGTGATCGACTTCGGTACGACATCGCGCAACCTCCACCGCAGCATGCAGTGCCTCAGCAAGGGCGGCGTGGTGTTCGTGATCAAGGAAGTGGCTGACCGATTGCTGCCCAAGTTCAGCCGACGAGCGGAAGACAGGCAGCAGTCTATCAGACCGGTCGAGCCGGGTACTCTCGAGCAGCTGCGCGAGATTGTGCAGCTGGTCGGCTCCGGCGAAATCGAACCACCACCGCACACCGTCTACCCGGCCGAAGAGGCGCTCGACGTCGTGCACAAACTCTGTCACTCGGAGATCCAAGGTCGCGCGATCCTCCGCTTCTATCCCGCGGATTAAAGGATCCATCGCTGGGATTACTATTCGCGATCGCGCGGATTAACGGACAAAAGACAGATTCGATGACGACGACCACAACCACTGAGAAGTAGCCGAGACGGTGGTCCAACTGTCGAGAATTGTACGGTAATTGTATGATCAGCGCGTGCGTTTCCGGAGTCTCGATATGAAATGTAACAACTCCGACAGAGTTGAGTTATCATGAGCGACAAGTAGTTCTGCCGATAACCGGAGTTTAGATTAGACGTGGTGAGACGACAACGTATCGCGGTATACGACAGCTCGCAGATGCAAAGAGGAGAAAGAATTGGTGGGGGAGTCTTTTCACAGAATGATATTTGCTCGTTTTGACATATTATTTTATACGATTTGATCGCATGATGATAATTTTGAAGAACACGTTATCCTTGAGGGAGAGATCTCCTCAGCATACCAAGGAGTCTTTCCCGCAGATCTTTTTTTCTCAAACCTGCGAGGCTTGTTACGGGCCGAGACGGAACATGACTTTGTGAATTGTAGTTTTTTTGTTTGAAGAAACGAGCGATTAGATCTTGTACTACGCGAAAATAGTCACGCGTTTTGCGTATGTGGGACGTGTGTAATGAGGACGAGAGAAAGAGATAATGCCAGTGTAACAAGAAAGCAACATTATTTCCAATGACACTTTCTTTATCTTCCATGAATGGATGTGTAATAATTGCTTAATGCGTAACAAAGTCGAGAATAAGCGACGATTTACAGGGTGTGACATTAATGGATAAAACTCTGATGTAAGTGAGGACGGTACTCTATTTTCGTGTTTCGTCCTCTCGAGCGAAAATTAATGAACGGAGGAGACACACTTACGCAAAGCAATATAATTATTGCTCGACACGCGTCCCTTTGAAATCGAATGACGCGCAGAATGGTGACGATGAAAACTTTGACTTAGATCGATATGATGACACTTTCACAAATTACCGAGTAACGGCAACGGTGAATAGTCGTGTTAACGGTGACATTTCAATGATTACAGTAATGTGGCTCATACGAGTACTTAAAGTCGTTATGGTAAAAATAGAAACAATAGGAAGAACAGATTCGAAACGATTTGGGATGATCGTATTAATTATACTAATTCAATGTACATGCGTTGCGATTGACAACGACTATTTAAAGTTGCCGCACAAGAAAGGATTGAAAAAGACTATTTTTGCTTAAAACGGACAAACGAGCGATCTTTGAGATTTTCCTAACAAGACGTTCCATTGATATCGCTAAAGGAGTGACGACAGTCCGTATTTCTCGTCGCGCATTTTGAATTGCGAGTGTGAAAATTCCAATCGGAACCAGATAATTATAAATATTTGCTTATACAACAAATATATATAACATATGTAATATGTACTATTATCGCACATCTCACCGAACCCCGTTAAATTCTGAGTACGTGGCGAGAATACAGGCTTTCCGGTTTCTTATGTAAAAAACCGACGTGAATGAAGAATTTCAGGATGAGAATGATTCACGGTAAACACGGTGAGAATGCGAGACAATGACCTCGTCGAGCGCACCATTCATCCGGTTAAGCGGTATTCCTTACTGTATTAAAGACATTTGTCGCCGCTCACTTCAATTATCGAGAACGTCGTTCCCAACAATTGCAATAACCAGTAGTCGTGTCTTACGATTATTTGAGATACGTGAATCACGTCGGCTACGAGACTATCATTGTCGCGAGTGACGTTTCACGATAATCAGACATCGTCGAGTGTGGTTGACGAAGCATTGCAAATTATTACCGCAATTCCCAAGCAAGTCCGATATTTCTCAGTACACTTCGATGCATACCGCGGTGATGCCGCAGCCCAAGATCAAACGTGTATTTAGTGTCAATTCAGAAGTAATAATCGATCGAATGCCTGTGTGAGCCTAGAATAAGTTCTCTGTTTAAGATAAGGATGTCGAGCCGTTAGTGAATGTCCGTTTTCTACCGTAAGATATGAGATATCGTTGCTCCGTAATGAAGAGATGTAATTACTCGTGTAAGTTAATTTGCGATCATCGACTTGAAACACACGCGGTAGGTAACGTGTCCACCTGAACTGAGAATGTAACTAACGAAGTGCGAAGAAACTTTTCTGCAAGATGCATTTTATAATTATTGAAAGCGAGATATGGTTACTGTGCCTTTGTAGATGCTTCTTTTTCGATTCTGATACTTGATAAGTATAGGAGAGAAACTCTCTTTTTATTACTATATAAATATAATATATATCTCTTCTCTATGATGGGTGCTTTCCATTTAATAACACAAGTCGACACAAGCATCATCCTATCTTAGTTACTCATTGAATATGGAACAAAGACAGAATAATGTTTATGTCGACTTGTGTTATTAAATGGAAAGCACCCGATATAACACACACATCCTGGTCAGTGGGCACATTTCCTCATGGAAAAGCTTAAAAAAATCAGCTTGTTCGACACGAATTCTCAACGACAACCGAGACTTTCGGTTGAACGTGAACGTAGATTCACTCAATTTTAATGTTCTGTTATTCGTCCTAGATTCAGGTACAATTGCCTCATTGCGTCAACAATATGTCATCTTACGGTATTGCACGGATATTCGCGTGAGACGCTATGTTACTTCGTTAGGATTCTACCCGATAAGACGGGGAATGTATTTAAATCGTAGTTGCATCGTAGCCAAGATCGCATTCGGTTCTAGAAACTCGAATCGCGTTTCGAGGTCGAAAGGAACAGGCGTCCTACATTAATCGGGCACATTCGTGATATCTGACGGCGCTTTATCATAAACCGGCACGATAGGAGCATAACTCGCAATAACGTTAATTTGATCGAGCGTATATATTCGCGTCCGAGATGTATCTCTCGTTGATTGTCGTTATATCCTTAGATCAGTATTCACCTTTTCGTTTAGTGTAAGTTTAGCGTAAGTCGATTCGCGTAAGGTCACGGCGAGTCGCTGTATCTCGAAAGACTGTTTTGTTTATTTAAGCAGTATGTATCCTCTTATTTTTTGTAACGTACATTTAGGGCGCTTAGCGTCGTAGTACACGCCGCATCGTCATGTTATTGTACCTACTACTGTTGATTGTAACGATAAACGATTATATTACGGTAATAATATAACCGATATGTTCTTTTCTCTTTTGTAATAATGTGTTTTTCATTTTTCTCGGGCACTTCCCTATGTAACGATAAATATATATATTCCTATCTATATATTGAGAATGTTTCGGTATTCTTTCTTTTAGTACTGACAAATTGAACTGTCGATGGTATTTTTTAAGTGGTATATAATTTATTGGAAATTATTATACTATGTACAAATGTATATTCGGAATTGCAGCTGCAAATGCGATATAAAGATCAGCAAGATTGTGTAAAGTACGAGATAAAGTGTGCGAGTAGAAAAATTCATCAGCAATGTCCGAAATCAAATTGATAAATACGCAGCATATCACTCTGCGACAGAAACGCTCTGTCAGAACTTTATCTTGTTAGGCAAGAGCGTACGCGTTGCTATGCTATAATATTGATTAGTGACTTTATATATACATACAATTAAAAATCGAACGACAATCACAGAAGAGAATCAATTTGCTCCCGGTAAAAATACTATATACATTTATACACACATGTAACAACTGGACAACATCAATACGTATGTGTAAGAACTTTAAAGTGTATAAATATCATTCATGTACAAGTCTAAGTACTAAAAAGGAAATTAAGAAAGTTATTCTCGAGCATTAGCGTTGATAATTTACTGCAATCTTGTTTGATTTTTTAAGCTCAATCAGGTCTGATTAAAACTTCAGTTTACGTTTAAATATATAAAAATGTTAGATAGAGTTGCGCAAAATTCTTTAGTAATATAAGCGCGCTGCTAATAAACAATTAATTATAAAACGGACAAGCAGTCCTGTGTATAAATGTAACATTTATGCCACGATTTGATTTCATTCCATTGTTATGATTTCGGCTTAACTGGAGATTGTAAATAATTTCGTGGAACATATCCTTGTTGGCCGTTACGATTCTCTACTAGCCACCATTCGTCGTTTCCCTTCTCGTCGTGCGGTCTAAGCAGTCTCAGAGCTTGGCCACTTGTAACGGCCAACGTACCTGGTATATTCGCAGCGAAATCGTACATCGCATAATAAAACTGCAAAAAAGGAAAATGTATCAGTAGAAAGTACCGCAGAGTGACTGCATAAAGAGCGAAAAGTATGAAGATACTAACTTCGCTGTTTATATTCTGATACACTTGAACCTTTGACGTTCCTGGGATGTTACTGTAAGTCTGATTTACTTTCGATTCATTACTTATGTCTAATGAAAGCAAATCTTGCAGATGCGATTGAGATGTCTTCTTGATCTCTTTCTCCGGAGAATCCAACAACATCAAATTCGGAGGGCTCTTCCTGCTCGTGGCGATGTCCGTCGTCGCGGTATAATCGCGTGGTTGGCTCTGTTGAGCCGGTTTCAATTTCTTAGACGGCAGAAATCCTTGAGTGATCCCAGTGTCGACGTACCACCTTGCAGGATCTCCCATAGGATCCTGCTTCTTTATGACGGCGACCAAATTACCTCTCGTGGCACCCAAGTCCAATGCGGACGTACTGGCGACGTTTTCCATTACTATGTACAATTTATCGGCTGCATATTTTTCTTTGAGTAGGGATCTCTGCCTGTCGGACTGCGCGCAAAGTTGAGTTTGGCCTTCATCATCTACTTGAGGATTCGTACCAGCAAACGTGAAACGTTTTATTTGATTCCACACCAAATTATGGTTCACGAGAAACGATTCCAACACGTCTTGCGATGACAAGTGCGGCGACGTCTGCAAAATATAAAGAAATATTCTGCATTCTTTATTGAACATTGTTACGATGAAGGTCTCGTCTAAAGTTTATCCAAGTACCTCGCACAACGTCAGATATTGCTTGGTAATTTTGCCACTTAGCAATTTTCGAGCTCCGGCGAAGGCACTTAAGCAAGTAACTAGAATGTTTGCCACTGAATCCAGCAGTATAGGCAATTCCTCTAACAATTGCTGATTCAACGCCTCGTAATTACTCTTTGCAGTAAATAATTCCTCTTGTACCTGAAGTGAATAAAGCGGATCGTAAATAAGGAGAGGAAGCGTCAGAGAGAACGGCGCGCTAAGCGTGACGGTGTAACAATTACAATTTTTGATTCTTTAGATTTCTCACTCTTAGAAATAGCAGCGTCGTAATCCAGTAATTTATCATGCCTTTTCGATATTAGAACCGCCGGTCCTTCTAATAATGTCGTTAGCAAATGTAGTGGCGCGCTGACTCTCTTCTCGACGCATGACTTAAAATCTGGAATATATTGAGACCATATAGTGGACCTTATATCTTGCAATTTCTTCACGTCGGAAGTAGGCGTTCCCTGATAATAGTGACCCAAAAACTCGGCTATCACATCTCCCGACATAGCCTCCTCGCTCAAGTGCATAGTGCACTGTTCGACGTCTTTCGCCAGCTGCCACGTGCATTTCTCAATAGATCGAAATTGCTTCTCGAGCTCTTCGAATTGAACGTCGCACGCGACGTTTGTCAATCCCAAACTCGCCGATAATTTCGTGCTCAGTCTTGTAGACATCTTTGCTACAGAGTGCATGCTTAATTTCGACATTTTGCCGATTAGCGTGTTATCGTTGTCCAAATATTTGGATACGATATCCTTCCTACGCTTGTATTCGTTAATGTAGCTGGCTACACTCGTCATTGCCTTCCACGCTTCTTCTGTAGGCGCTTTATCTGGATGGTTGTCCTCCGTACACTGTTACAAGTAATAGCGCGTTATAAATAACAGATTATATAACTAACGTTATCACTTACCTTTATTAATTTGTACAATATCAGAGGATACTTTAAGATTCTTTGAACCGGTTTTATCAAGATAGAACTCATATCGAAGCAAGCGATTTGATGACGTAGTGTTTCAATACCTTTATTAAATATCTTCATAATTTCCTCGTTATTTTCATACTGAAAAACAATCAAGTGAAACACGATTACACATAATTTTAGATTTCTTATAATATGAAGGCGTTTTGTCGATTAAGAATTCTCAAAACCACATACCTTTTTCAGCAAAGTTAATGCCGCTTCATGATTGCCGCAGTATTTAACGTAAACAGTCTTCAATTTCTCGGCCATCTTCACGAAACAAGGCCCGACCATCTGCAAGTTTTCATCGCAACCTTTCATCGCTTTCATGATCATATCTAACAACTCCTCGGCAACGTGAATAACTTCCAAGATATTGCCAAACAACGTAGCGACATCGACGCCCCTTGATACAAGAGAACTCGGCTCGTACAAGTTAAATGTTTCGTACGTCAATTTTAAATCGCGGACATACTCTTTCTCCGTTATAACCAATTCCGAAATTACATTCTGTCGTTGATCCGCACGCTTTTCTTTTATACTGTCCGCACTATCGGTCGCAGATTCGTTATCTCGAGTTCCTGCTTGAACAGAAGCTTCTGCGTTCGCAACAATATCCTTTTGCAATGGCACTCTGCCTGGAGCCGGAGCTGGTGGTGCTGGTCTGTGCGGTTGCGACATCCTTTTTGGTTTTTGTTCCTCATTTGGCGTAACATTCTCTGCTTTATCTCTAATCATCACAAAGTCTTCCGATTCCTCCAGCGATTCTTGCAACTGGTACGGAAAATGACCAAGCGCCGAACTCAAATATTCTCTCGGACACAAACCGACCAGGCCGTTTTTATTCTTCACATTTACCCAATCCTCGTTCGCCGTGTCTACTACAGTAACGACGTCGCCTTCGTGAACGCTTAGATCACCATCCATTTGTGCATGGAAAGTATATAATACCTTCACTGTAACGCCTGGATCCAGGGCGTCTTTCTTCGCAGGAGTCGCATCCACTTCGAGCTGGATCTGATTATTTTCAATTTCTACACAATCAACTATAACGTTGACATAAGATGATGGGAAAATGCCTTTAGCGGTATCTATCATGCCTTCCATCCACTCGGAATCAATATGCCTAGTGATATGCACCACCTCACCTACTCCAAAACTCAGCTCGTTTGGAAATTGCGCGTTAAATGGATATAATGTTATGGCGTATGGTTTGATATCGACAGACTTGGCGTGAGTATCACACTGTGTGTCTGTTGAATTGCTGGTAGATGCCAAAGCTTCTGGAAATAAGTCAAAATAATTTGGAGTAGGATCTCCAGGTTTATCTGAGTTTATGGAAGCAGCTGTATTGAAATCGTTGGAAGTTGTGTCACTACATGTGGGCCATGCCAAGTTACTTCTCATTGTGCTTGCCATTTCTGCTTGATCTGTTTCATCTTCATCCGCACTTATATAAGATATAAATCCTTCTGGAAATATGCCTTCCTTTCCATTTTCTGTTACTCCACGACACCAGCCATCATCCAAAACCTCTGTGACTGTAACCACTTCTCCTGCAATCAAGTCTAACTCTTCTTCAAGTTGTGCTTTCAGTGTTGTATCAACCTTGGCCTTTTTTCTTACTGATTTCTTCCTTGATGATTTCTATATATACAAAAAATATATTTAATTTCATTATCTTTACTAAATAAGTACGTAACCTATAAATGAGATACAATATAAGTGACTTAACCTTTATCAGTGTTGTATCGAGTTCCCAAGTATGAGTTGTAGGAAAAATTCCTGTGCGAGAACTTGTTCTGCCCATGCACCATCCTGAGCCTATGTCTCTCGTTCCAATTATGAGTTCCCCTAATAATTGTGTTTATACTTAAAATAATTATTTAAAAATTAGAACTGATAATATAGCTAATATATATAGGTTAAATTTTTTAACTAGAAATTCATAATTTCAGAATCAACATTTCTTTATTAGAACTTTTTCAGAAAATTTGTGATTTAATACAAATTTAAAATATATTAGTCAAATTATGCAAATTAACATAATTAATTATAAACCTACCTTGTGCAAAGGACAGATCTCCTGTTTCTTGTCCAGGAAAGTTAGCGACTGCTACAAACAGTCTTTCTGCCTCACTGAACTCAGGAATCTCCACTTTATGTAGATGACTCAAAGGGAACTTGCCAATCCTGTCTTGAGACTGACCCAAGCACCAATGTTTGTCTACTATCTCGTGTATCTAAAATAAAAATGTATCAAGATTGTTTACATTCAATAGGTTATGTATCAAACGTTCACAGCAGACAGTCTGTACCAGGAAGCAATGTCCTTTAGAAAGACTCAGCTCTCCGTCGACGGTCGTAAAGAAGTCGTGCAACACTCTTGCCAATGTTCCCGACTCCATCACGAAGAAGTCGCAATCAACGATCTCGCGACACTGAGCACCGAGCTTCACGGAAACAAGCTAGACAACTGACACTGCTCCGATAAGTGGTCGTCACGTGGCATACGAGTTTGTGTCTGTATCCCGATATACAATACTCGTGCACGCTGAGCGATTAGTATTATCATCGTCGCTACAAAAACCATCCATCCTTGTGTCGTGACGATTGAATGAAATTATTGATTTTTTTGCAGTCTCAAGCGTAGCGACGTGACATGTGTGGCAATGTATAATGCGACGTTCATACACGATATAACGCAATTAATTTCATCATTCGATGAATTGCAACTTGAACTATTATGTCAATATGTACTATAAAGATTAATAAAGATAAAGTAGTTGGATGTTTATCAGGATAAATACAGCTTAAATGACTCAACCATGTGAAGGCCTGTCCTTTGTAGCTGCACTACTGAACTAGTGCAATAAGTTAGAGTGAGAAAACGTATATTTGTTTCACTTCAATATATTGCACCAGTTCAGCAGTGCAACTACAAAGAACAGGCCTAATATTGCGTTAGAAAATTTCGATGTTTAAATAGAACGTGTGTTTGTGTCGTGATAATGTACCCGGATGCTTCTCCGGAGATATTTATGCATTTTTCACAAAATTCATTCATAAGCATATATATTTCACACAGTTAAGAATTTAACAATAATGTGTATTGATAACATGTGTGCTGTTGTAAAATTTAAAATAATCACGCAATTTTGTCAATTTTTCTGAAGCGTACATGGAGTTTGTGTATCTCTCCAAATAATACTTTTTATATGCGCTGGACGTTTATATGCATGCCGTCGCCACAGAATCAGCTGATCAACGAAATACATGCTGATCACTAAACATTTTACGTAATTCAGTGAAAAACATATTTAATATGTGCATATGTGTGTGTTAGCATTATACTGGTATGGTGATACAGAATATTGCATCATGCAAAAAAAAGAATAACGAGTAGCGCTAATTTACATATTTATCTTCGCTAAAGAGGCTAGAGAGCGACCAACATAACCTCGAACTTCATCCTATAGGATAACGCAATCATGAATGGCAGTGTATTTTAACATCGTTCGTAATTTATTCACACGCATCTATCATTAATTTATGTTATGTCAGATGTGATGTGTCGGGAATAATAGTGTCTAGTGATAAACATGCTCACCGAAGAAGTTAAGTTAGGTTAGGTTCTTTGTATACAAAAGATACAACTATATTAATAGCGAATATTTTGTATAACTTGCATAAATAATCACAATAAATTAAAGACAATGAACTTAATTCAATAATTGTTCAATAAATTCAACTCGAATTCCATTCAATAAGACTCTACCAAGTGCAAGATGCATTGTATACGTAAGATTCTAAGTATTACATACCAGAATTTACGGACGTGCAATGAAGTGAACAATGTAAATAGGACATATAAAAGAGCAAGAGTATTGCTACAAAATATTGCTTGTCGTTTTAATCACGATTCTGAGGGAGATGCAAGCACAGAGAGTGAGGAGGAGCGGAACCAGTACAGACAGCTCTCCAATCATTACCTAGGTACTGCAGCTGGGCACAGGCTCTTTGTTTTGCAACCTTATATAAAATGGGGCAGAAACAAGAAAAGAAACACTACACCAGAACTGCAAATGGCTGAAGCTGTGGCGCTTGTAAATACCTTACCGTATTGGTGCGTAGTTGGAACTAAGTATGCACCGTTGCTTAGTTTGCAGAGGAAAACTTTGATCGGTTCTGGTAGTATACAGAACATGAAGCAGGCAATATATAAGAGTGAGAACCCCACTGCAATATTCATCAGTACTAATCAGTTGAAATTTGTCCAGATGGTTCAATTAGAAAAGATCTTTGGCTTACCAGTGTACGATCGTTATTCTATAATTATCCACATATTTCGCGAGCATGCGAAGAGCCCAGAAGCGAAGCTGCAGGTAGCCCTAGCGGAAATACCGTACATCCGCAAGAAGATGCTGGAAACGTGTATTACTGCCAGCGGTGCGGCCTTTATAACAGAGAAAATGAAACTGCTGCTTGACGACAAGGAGAAGAAATTGAAGACCAATCTGAAAAAGTTGCAGCAGCATCGACAACTTATCAGGAGTCGTCGCAAGAATATCGGTATGCCCACAGTTGCTGTGATAGGTTACACGAATTCTGGCAAGACCACCTTGATAAAGGCGCTCACAAACGACACATCTCTGCAACCCGAGAACAAATTGTTTGCAACTCTCGATACGACTGCGCATCAAGGCATATTGCTCAACAGACTGAAAATACTCTACATGGATACCATTGGATTTATTCAGGACGTGCCCGAAACCCTGATTGAGCCGTTTGTCGTGACCCTACAGGATGCCATAATCGCTGTATGTAAAGTATTCCAAGTTAAAATTTTGATCCTACTTTCGACTTTGATATTACATTTAACTATTTGATACTCTATTTTGATACTATGGAGTCTATATCAATCTGTTTTGATTCTACCTAACTTACTGGCTTTGTCAAGAGATCTTCTTTAGAATCTACAAGTCGTGTTTTATGTATTTTCTATCATTTGGATGCACTGAGTAGAATTTCAGTAGAATATATTCAGATATTAGAAAGTTCAGGAGTCCAGAGTAGAGCTAAAATTTCAATTCGAGATTATCAACTTAACTTAATCTAATTTTTCTTGCTCCTTTTTTTACTTAGATGAAATATGATAATTTAAGAGTTCTGCTCTAGGACGTGATAGTTCACATATACGACGTCAGTCACCCTGATATGCAGGCGCAGTATGAACATGTTCAACAGACGATCAAGTCTATGATAGGCGAGGATCGTTCGGTAATCGACGTTGCCAATAAATGCGATCTAGTTGAAAACGATTGTATACCCGAGAACGTGATCGCCGTCTCCGCTACCAAGCTAACAGGTATGATTAAAATTTGTTATCAGCCAGAAGCACAAACGGCCGTAAGCAAGACTAACGGTATCAAGTTTGGACAGAACAGTTTTGATACTCCAGATTGTTTGAACATTTGCAGGAATCGATGTATTGCGTTTAGAGATAGAAAAGGTTCTGCTGGGCACCACCGGATTATTACGCAAACGTATAAGAGTGGAGTCTGGCAGTCCTGCTGCCAAATGGTTCTACAAATGGACAACGGTTGTGGACGCTGTACCAGATCCAAATAATGCTCAATATTTAATTCTGAACGTGCTCGTTACCTCACGCGATCTTGAAGAGTTTAAACAGTTTTTAAGACAATAAAATAATTTATACCAAAGTTTATGTGCAACGGTCTCTTATACTTATTTAGTCTCTGATGAAAAGTATCGAAGTTACATCTCGTATAGTTTGAAATAATGTTAAATGATTGCGTGAGATTTGATCTTTTCTTCTTTAATTAGTGTCATTTTTATTTTACGACAAAAATGACAAATTGCTCATGATTGTAAGTTAGAAAACAATTAGGTCCTATATTATCCTAATATCCTAATTAATGAAAAACACTTTGTAATATATAGATTAATTATTATAAATATTTTTTGCAGATTAAATCACAGAGATTGTACTAAAAGGTACTGAGCGTAATTAAGGCTCAGTGTGTTGTCAAGAAGTCGGTACTTTTTATGATTCAGCTTGTACACATGCTCAGCACGTGTTTTCGTACAGCTGGCGCTTTAAACTGGATGGTAGATGCACGGGACACGACTTGAGATTTCAACTGAGACACTCGTTACGGTTGTTAGCGAAATTAAAGATTTTATTACGCTACAAGGGTGATACTTGAAACAAAGCTTATCATTTATGCTTTGGATAATTCACATTCATGTGTGTGGAGTGATGTGGACATCGAGTAAAAAACGCGAAAAAAAGTCTGAGTTTCCGAAAACGCGCGGCCCAGAATGTAATGAACAATCAACTCGAACGACTTTGGATCGTCGCCCAACGAAAGGGAAGTGGTCGTCACGCTGCCGGGATGTTTAGCTATCACTATCGTTTTATTAAGAGTTCCGTTTGCTGGTCTTATCTCGCGCGCGTGTGACGGCGGCTATCCACCGCGAGGAACTTGGTAGCGAGGGTGCCGCTGTAGCGCGATGTATAATTCATTGAGCTCGATGATTCTCTCTCTCTCTCTCTCTCTTTATGTGTACAAAGACTGTCCCCCGGAAACTCTATATAATGACAGTAAAGCGAAATGCGCCCCAACGGTGTGTGTATATCTTCCAGAATTGCTCCTCTTTATTTAAGCATGGAATTTGAATTATCCACTGTAACTTCGTGTCCTCTCTAACCCTATTCTCTTTATCGTCGAAATCGAGATCATGTGTATTAACGCGCGTTATGAAGATCCTTTTTATTTGTACAATGGAGCGCATTACGCCGAATAGATGATGAACGGGTCGCAAGTCGAAATAATGAACAGAATAACGATAATCGATATCATTACTCAACGGTCTCCGCTAATGTCTGTATTTGCAAATTTTATCCTGCAAAGATCGTGGGCGGCACAATCGTCGCAAAATCTAATCCAACAAACATGAGGTGAACGCAGAGCGGGCGATTCTCGACCGATGAGTCTCGACAGCCACGCTCCGCGCGGCTCTTCTGACCATAAAACTGTACATTAACACAGGTGACGCGTCATTAATATCAGGCGATGGCGGGACATCCTCTGTGAAGCCTTATAGAGCACCCCGCAGAATTAATCGCGCTCGCGCATGGAGGAGTCCTGGACGACGGGCCGTCCTTTGGTCGGGGAATTAATGAAGGATTGATATCGCGATTATGTTGTAGCAATAGAGAGAAGAGAAGAGACGAGGGTCCGGCGCAGCCGTGGACCGATCGGCAGCAGCCACGGGCCGCTTCCGGGCGATAATTAATTGCAGGCGTGACGGCGCTTTAACGTCGTTAATTTTCATTATCTCGATCGGAATCCGCTTGTAGCCGAGCGCGCCGTTTTGCAGCTCGCTAATTTCGCACGCGTTCGCTCGCTCGCTCGTTCGCCTCGTAACCACTTTCGGGAAACGCATTAATAATTCCCCGATACCGAGAGAGGGCGGAGAGGGTGGACCGAAGGGCGCTTTGCAAAATTTGTCACCCGCCCGCGACGGTGACGCTAATGTCGCGCGCGGCTCCTGCGGGCGGGATCGCGGCGCGCAAGGACGCGCGATGTGCACTTTGCGCGCCGTTTGGATTATTCAAGCGAGCCTGAAGTAAAACCCAATTATCGCGGCGTCGCGGCTGACGCACCAACGGCAAATTTGCGCCGCTCGTCCCTCGTCCTCCTCGTGTAATGATGCAGCGTCCGAAGCGCCGCGTCCAGCGAGTTTCGTTTGAGCCGCAGCGAGCTCGTCCACGACTAACTTTTCCGTTTCGCCGAAACGCCGCGCGGAGTTACTTGCACGGTTTATTTATCCCAGGTATAAATGCAAAAGGTGAGCCGGCTGGATGGTCCTCACGAGTTGCTCAGTGAAGCGCATATCGTGCGTAGCCCGGGGCTTTAATATCTTAACCTGGCGAGAACAAATAGTAAATTAATCACTCGAAACACAGAGACACGATCTCGAATTGTCCGAATGGTAAAATAATATCGCGGTAAACGTTCGACTGTGTGAAGGGCGCGTGTTTCGCGAATACAATGATACATTACTTGTACGTTTTGTTATTATATTAAACACCAAGTTTTCGCGATAATTCGACGAGAGGTACTCGCCAGCATTTGTACATTCCTCACATGCGCTCTCCGCGCACGTACACGCAAGCTCGTTGCGAATGTAAGAAGCAGACAATTCGCGTACTGGGTGCGATGTTCGTGGAATTCGCGCAGGAACTGCCAGTCGTTCGATCTCCCACAACGCGTCCCCGCGCGTTTGTGAGCTCATCGACGAGCTGATTCGACTAACGAGCCGTATGGTAAAACGTTGTTTCGTCCCGTGGCCATCTGGGCGAATTCGCCGGAAAAATGATAGTAATAACAGAGATTTGGCACAATAGTCCATTAGATCGACCACCTGGCCGAGCCGGCGTTTATTTAACGCTTTAAACACAAAGCTGCGGCTCAAACGGTTCTATTGTGTGGCCTCCGGGCAATTAAGCGAACGATTGACTAACGAACGTCGATCGACGTCGTGCGACTCGTGTAACGTAATGATCGCGCCGGCCGCGCGCTGATTTGCTCGCCGTTACAGATTCAATTACGGGCGCGCCGCGCTCTGATATTTCGCGCGGCACGGCCGAACGAACATTCCGAGATCAACGACGCAAATTAAATTAAACCTAACGCCGCCGTATGCCCGAGCATAAATAACGAAAGTGACGCCGGCAACGAGTATAATCCGATACTCGCGTTGTTTTACGCGTTGTCGTTCGACGAGTCGCGTTGCCGGTCCGCTAAATGAAATTTGAGTACGAAATTTTAGCGATTCGCACAGGACCGATTGATTTTGAAAAACTATTTCTTGGATCGGCTGATGAATCCAATCATCGTCGCCGAATAGCGTAGTGCATATCGAGAAATCGCGGCTTCCGACTGCTTCTCTGCGCGACAAGTGTTCTCATTGCAGTCGCGTCATCGCGTCTAGAAAGTATGTATCCAAGAGGAATACGAATTGCGAGCTTAAGCAATCGTGCGTTTTCTCACGTCTAATTGTCGCGATGTTTGCGGTAGTACCGAGGGGACACGAGCTATATTTTTACGCGGGCGAGTTCCCTCACGTCTGATCGCTGAGGAAGTGACGCGGAGTGTCAAAGACGCGAAATCAGTGGACCGAGTTTTGTGGGGCCTGTTTTGCGGGTCGAATATTCGCGACTCGGTTAGTAACTCGAGTTTGAGCGGCTCGACTTCAAAGGGATGCAGAAAAATTCGTACGGCCGACCCCGCGTAGGAGAATACCGGCGTATGCCTTCGCGAAGCGATCGGCGCGATTCCCTCCCGTTCTCGCGAATTATCCCCTTCTCTCTTTGTTTCTCGTCGCCCGCCCACTCTCCTTTTCCTTCTCCCCCTTCTCTCGTCCTTCTCTCGCTCCTTTACATACTCACGTTCACGAGAGGTCGAACGGAGCAATGTGCATTTGCCTACGCGCCCGTTTTCCCCGCCGTTCCGTTTCGCTCTCGTCATTGCGCTTTATAACGCGTGTCGTCTAGGGCGTGCAGTCATTTATCGCCGGGGCTTTGTAAGATGTCCCGCCGTCTCGACAGATCGGCGCTCAGCGTGATTGATTCGGAACGTTTCGGCGTCGATACTTGTTGAGCACCCGTTGACCTGAAACAACTCTCGTGAACATCTCGAGCGCGCGAACAGATAAGAAAATCGCGTTCCTCAATTAATTTCGTGCAAACTCGATTTTAACAGAACTATAATTTGATGCTCACGATATACTTGTAACTTTTTTTTTCTGACGGTTCAGCGACTCTGCCGCAGTGTCTGCAGCCTTTCCTGCGGGATATAGCCACTCTATGACACATCGTTTCTACTTTTCCAAACGTGTTAATCCTCTTTAACTATTCTCTCTTTCCTGTACTTTCTTTCTTTTCCGATTTCACACAGATGATACTATCCGCACATGAAAAATTTATAGGTTAAAATTCAACTGCTCATCGCGACAGTTTCCAACAGACTCTAGTGGTGTAGTTACAAAGAAGGTTAGGGTCCGAAATTGGTCCAAATTCGAAATATCAGATCGTAGCTATCGCTAGTTGCAATAATAGAAATAACAAGTATATGTACATACAAGTGTAAGTATCTATCTTCTCGTCGGTCCAATTCGTGAAACCGTGTTCCGAGAAAAATGTACGTGTTTGCTGATTACGCGTGCACATTTTCAAGTGACCATATATACTGAATGTTGCAGCGAAACCGCGATACGAGTAGCAGTATCGATTATCGAGAGAGATCGATCATGAGAAACGAATATACGCGATTCTCTGGGGAAATCATTGGGCAACAAGGACATTGGTCCATCAATAGGTAGTCTCATCTTGACGAGGCCACTTGGGCGCTAAAAGGGTCGCTGGAATTTCGCAGGGGGCGATTTGCCGTCCGCGAGTATTTCGAGATACGTTCCTGTCGGCGACGATCGCGCTATTGGCCGTCCCGCGGGCGTGGGAGCTCTGCGGGGGTCGTGACGTTGCACGGTTAGTACAATCGTGCTGGGGGTGAACTGAAGTGCGCGAAACGGCTAGTATATGGCGACAGGGCGAGAAGGGGGTAGGAGCATGATAGCCGGTCGGCGCAAGTGCGATTCTGCGGCGGGGCAGCGGGGGTGTACGAGGGGGAAACATTGGAGGTTATCATAGGGGGGAGAGGGGCGTATCGCGGCCTGGCGGAGCCCAGTCGAGTCCCGTGAGTCCGGGCAAGCACTGCTCGAGTAGGTGGCATCGTGGTGGTGGTGGTGGTGGTGGTGTTAGGCGTCGTCCGGGACCGAGGAGAGAATCCTCCAAGAACCGCCATCGAGTACCGCCGCCGCCGCCGTTATCGTTGTCGTCGTCGTGGTCTTCGTGTTTGATCGTCAACGTCGTGCCGCCGTCGTCGAGGCGTTGCATCGTTGCGCGCTCGGTAAAAGCCTAGTCCCGAGGAAAGGAGTAAACAGCCTCCCTCGTCTCTCTCGCGCTGCATGTCGAGAGAGTAAAACGGTGGGTGGGAGAGAGAAAGAGAGAAAGAGAAGGAGCGAGTGGATATAGAAGGAATTAGTGTGAGAAAGAGGGAGAATATGAGAGAGAGTGTGAGATAGAAAGAGAGAGTGAGAGAGACAGGACGTGTGAATGGGAAAGATAGAGAGCGAGAGAAAGACGGAAAGTACAGAGGGTGAGCAAAAGATAACGCTATCGCGAGTCGCGAGAAAGGGAGGATAAAGGTAGTGCAACGTTTCCAGAAGCGAGACAAAGTATCATCCCGACTGCTGTTATCAGTTGCCGGTTGTTATCGAAGCGAAAAGGGAGAGGACGCGCCTACCGTCGTGCGGCGCGCGAAGTACGCGTCAAGCTGAACCTCACCGAGTCGAGCCTCGTCGACAAGGTAGAGGAGGAGGAGGAGGAGGAGGAGAAGAAGGTGGAGGAGGAGATGGAGGTATAGTAGAAGAGGGAAGAGGCGGCGGCGGCGAGAGCTTGTCACTTCGATCGCCATTTTAGCGCCGAGGAACGGTCGCGCGTCGTGCAGGATATACATCGAGCTGATGCGTGCGTGTCGGCGACGCGACGCGATAAACGTCGTCGCCGGTAAGTCTCATAGCTCGTGCCGTTCTTCTCATCGCTGAGCACTCGTGAGTGCATTCGCGGTTCTCCCTCTTTCATTAGCAGTAGCAGAGAGAGAGAGAGAATGTATGTATGTATGTATGTGAGATAGATAGAAAGAAAGAAAGACAGTGTGTGTGTGTGAAACTAAAAAAAGCATAGGTAATGTGCTTCTTATGAGATGCCCATTGTGACAATATTTCCTTTCTTGAATGTCGTTAGCGCATTTTTACTAAAAGAAGTTAAGTCTTAAATCGACGATACATCCGTCTATTCGACGGATAAATACATTTCTCCTGGGATGCAGTTAACTTGGCGCTTTAAAGTATCCTAGTAACATGCGCGACATCTCGTTAATACGAGCGTCATTAGCGTCATTACAACCGAACTGCGCTTTAAGCATTTCGGAGCACTTGTAGCGTCAAGCGAGCTGCACCGTGAATATGGGATGGGCGATTTTTCTTCTCAGATACAACCGGAAAGCGTAACTTACTAATTCTCAATTTTATCGAAGTCGTTTTTTGTGAGAGCAACGTCGCGTGCTTCGGCACGTAAGCTTTCTAGGTCGTTGCGTGTTGCACGTCGCGATAGCGAACATACCTCGAAGTGCAGTTGTAAATCCGAGTAATCGCGGATCATTAGTGGCGCCGCGACTTACGTAGTCTCCCACCGGCAGCGCAGCGTAGCGTCGCGTCGCGTCACGTACGTGAATCTGCGTGTTCGAATTCGAATTCGTGCATCTCGCGACGGTGATTGCGCGTTCTCGGAGCGTCCGGTGATCGTACGTTCGGCTAATCGCGGATCGGCCGTGTTATTAGGTGTCGTGTTACATATCTCGTCGCGTCATTACGCGTATTATAACGTCAGGGGACGATTTCGTTTGTATGGTGCTCGTAACGACCTTACAAGATGGTGTCGATAATCTATTGTAAATGGCGGTACGATTTTCGTAGTCTCGTCGGGCGCATTAAAACACAGACGTGCTTCTCGTTCTCGCGCGGGAGTGAACGAACGGGCGACATTCGCGGTGTCAAACGGGCGCGCGTAGGTGACACGAAGTCGCGCGATGGAGGAGTGTTGAGTGAAGGAGAAGAACGGAAGGAGCGGGTACGTGGAAAAAACGTCGTCCGGACAAGCGCGTGAGACGAAGCTGATATGTGAAAAAGAAGGTAGGCAAGACAAAGAGAGTAAACGATCGAACGACAAAGAACGATAGAGCACGACACTGTGTGTGCGTATGTGTATGTATGTATGTATGTGTGGTGTGGGAGAAAGGAAAGAAAGCGAACGAATGGGCTAGAGAAAAGAAACAAAACGAATAAACGAACGAGAAAGAGAGAAGTGAATGAACTAGCGCGAAAACGAGAGAGAAAGCGACCGAGCGAGTGAGTCAGAGTGTAGGAAAGAAGGGGAGAAAGGCAGAGAGAAAGAGAGAGAGAGGGAGGGAGGGAGGCAAGCAGGCGAGAGTGAGTAAGAAAGAAACTCGGCGCCATACTGGCTCCCCGCGGTTCCGCGACACGCACGCCGGCCGGCCGGCTAGCGACGCAGTTCGCAATTCCGCGAGTCCGGACGTTCGCCAATCGAGCGTTTCTATCGAAAAAAGCAGCGGAAAAAAGTACATAAAACGCGCTCTGATCGATCGCACTCGTACGCTCTTCTTTTAGATGCCGAAGCGGCGACACCTGCTCTTGCGCCGCATCGCCTCTACCACGCAGCCGATCGCGGTTTATCCTCAGAACAGAGACGGTCGTTCTCCCGCCGGAGAAATCCCCGCGATCTGCCCCCTGCGGCGCGCGTAAAGGGCGAGCGGAACAGACGACGAACGTGTGTATACGCAGCCGAGCCGAATCGGAATTAATCGAAGGGACACGCGCGCGCGAGATGATTCCGCGCGGCTGAAGGTCAGTGAGAGTGCGAACAAGGCGGGCAAACACAACGAACTGGTAAACAGAGTGAGACGGACACGCACGAGCGTATAAGCACGTACCAAGACGTAAAGAACGCGGCTCATCATTGAAGAGCAACGCCGGCGATAACAACGCACTGCAAGATTCTCTTTCGCGCAGCAGAACAGGACCGTGGTCGACTCGTGATGTCGGAGGTATCGCCGGCCTCGTGGTGATCAAGTGCTTCGCCGCAGAGTGCGTCTAATACGAGGTCGAGTACGCGCCGCGGGATCGGGGAGTACGATCACGAGTGCGCGGCGATCGGGGAGTCACGAGGCGACCCGGTATATAACGATATAATAGCAAGCCCTGTGGCGGCTGTGTGAGTGTGTGTACTCGCGTCGGAGCACGAGGAACGTCGTCGAGAACGTCGGGGGGTCCCGAGTGACGTCGGGGGGGCGCGTGCAGAACTGACTTTGCCCCCCCACCCCATCCCTGTACTCCAGCATCTCGAAGGATCGCTCATCGGTTTTGCAACGTTGCGGTTTAGGTGAGTCTTGAAAAGGTCTTTTTTGGATTTTTTGCATTTTTTATACAGCGTCAGAACAAGTATTTGTACGTTCTATCTTTTTTTGGGAGGGATCATTTTGCGCGGAGGAAAAAAATGTTGAACTACGGTGTGTTCTTATTCAAGATATATTTTGAAATGTACAAATGAAAAGATAATATACATTTCGATAGAAACTTCGCAGCGCGACAGATCTGGCTCAAAAAAGATGTGAGTTGTGCAAATATCTTTTCTATTCGCTGTAGGTCTTCGCAATATAAAAATCTGACATTCAAGTTAATAGTCATGACATGATTTATGTGATCCATAAAGTATCATATGAATAGGCACGTCTGCATTTCCAGACTTTGTCGTCGAGCATTTCGCCCTCGCGGTAAATGCGAATTTATCATTGTAATATATGCAAACTGTGTCGGATTCCTCTTCCTGTCTTCACGCGAACAAAGTGTTTTGCAGTCTTTGGGGTTAACTCTACCGTGCTCATAGAGTGATATAGTCTTCCTGCTTACCTTGTCGTGCACTTCGTTTAGCGTGTATTATCTATCACATTTATGTATATGTAAATTCCGCGAGTTTGCTTCAGCTCTTGCTTCTTGAAAAATTACAACGCAATTATTTACGATATTTTATCGAAGCGTATTCTGAAAATAATTGTGCGTATAAATTATACATTCACGTATACGTACGAATGTGATGTTAATTTTCATTAGTAATACATCTGCTGTCGAGTTATTAGCAATGCCATCGAAGTAATTTTAAATGATTGTTAACAATGATACATTCACGATCAAATCTGGAAAAAGAAAGACATTCTAAAGATTTAACATAAATCCCGGAATAGAAGATGTTTTGACTTATATAAATAGAAATTAACCTTATTTGAGATTGATACATTATTCAAACTAATATCCGTTGATGTTTTACCGATATCTTCATCTTGTACATTGAAATTCCTACTTAGCACTTCATCCCTCAGTTATCCAGTTATCCGTAAACGATATTTGCCTCGATTGCTCCCCTCAAAATAAATGTTCGCGAATAAGCACATTTTACAAAGAAGTCGATACGCGGATTCTCTCTGGCGCTTCTCGCTTCGGAATTATCAAGAGCTACTTCGCCATAACAAATGACACTGCACGCTGCTATGAAAAAGCTGGCTGCGCGTTATCCCGCGTATAACGTCGCGTTATCGCGACTTTATCGGAACTTAGGTGCGCGTCGCCTCGAATGGTCGGACACGTAATCCGCCGCGAGTGCACGTGCGACTTAACGTCACCGTGCGTTTCGCGCCGCGCGAGCGAACGGTGACGTCGGCGCTTGTAGTGAAGCGCGCAAGTGTGTGATTTACGAAAAGCGTAATATTACGCGGCGTACACGATGTTACTTTACTCTAGCGCGATATTATTCAGCGCCTCGATGATAATATTACGCTTAACGAAATGCCGCGTTAAGCAGTTTAGCGTAATTCAGTATCATATTCAAGTTCGCGATACGTCGCGCAGGCATTCGCGGATTTATATTGTGTAATCACGTGAACAGAGAATTGTTCGCTTCTAAAGCAACACGACGCGCATTTTATTTATTTAAAATATACGACTTTATATTTTACGGATACATTGAAGATCGACGATTTCAAGCATTTTAATACGATATTAATAACGATGAAAAACAGTGTTCAATAAAAGATTGAAAATATTTGTAAAAATTACAGCTATTAAATGAAATTGGCTGAATAAATTGCAGGAATTATGACCTATACAGCATAGATTGCACAAAAGGATTTCCTGAAATTTCCTGAAGGATTTCCTCTATTTTTTATTTTATCTTTGTTCCACATATCAAACATTCATGGAGGGGGAGGAATTTTATAGTAAAAATTATTATTGAATGAAATTATTATTTTTATACCGAGGAATAGATCGATACTCTCTCTGTAGTAATTTATTTTTAATTCTTCATTTATTCTTCACTTTATGTGTGTTATTTATATTTTAGGAACTGAAATGTGCTATTAAAAGATTTACTGTATTTCTAATTTCGGAATTTACTATGTTCCTTAGCAAGATAGATCTCACTAACGATCTATTTCTACACTACTAGAAACATATTAGAAATGAAAAGAATTTATATGAAAAAAAATCATAATATTCGTGTACAATAATTTTTAGGAATTTATACATTGAGAGAAAAAATTAAAAAAAATAAGAAATATTTATTCGATGGATACTAATTACACATACACATATTTACTTAAATCTAGGTTCTTTTATTTAAATAGAATAAACAACTGCTTTTATGAAAAGCTGAAAATGCATAATTTTCTTATTTGGAAAAAATATCTTACACAAGTAAATGTTATTAATACCTACCAAATAAATCTCTTATTTCGATATTTTTTCTTTCAATGCAATAAGATATTGGGTTTTTGCACAAGTGTCTCACGCGCGATAAGTAGGTATTGTTTTTCTAAATAAAATTCGAGCGAGAGACGAGTAACCAACAACACCTTTTAATAGTCGCTGTTTAGCACAGTGCGCGATGCTATGGTGAAAATAACTATTGGTGAAAATAACTATTGGTGCTAAACGGTACTTGACAATAATTAGTCGATTCTTTTTTGAAACTAGAGCATGCCTTTCTCTGAACCTCGACGGCGTCGCGACGGCAAACTCGACTGACTTCGGAACGTGTGCTTGGACTTTGAGGAGCGCGCGCGCGTTCTAATGAACTTCATCTAGATAGCTTGCTCGCGCTCGATTCTTTTTCGCCTCGTCACGCGATCGATCGATTGATCGATCGATCGGCCGGCTTCCTCGCTCGTTCGACATTCGATAATCTAACCTAACCGGCAGCAGCACACATTGCTCACCGAATCGTTCGGCCAAAGCACTGGGTGGTCCTCGATTATTCAACCACTCGACTATTCCGCGATAATGAAATATCGCGTTATCGACACATTTTCTTCGCCGCGCGATTTTCAATAAGCTTCCATCCGCTTCCTGGCGTGATACCCGCGTTTTGATTCCGTGAAACGCGTGCGAGAGAGTTCAAAGAGAGTGAACTCTCTTGAGAAACCGGTCAAATATCAACCGTCTTTTCGAGTGTCAAAATCTACATGCGGGATATATTCTCGGAGCAGACGAATCCTCCATGGTGTAGCGATATTTTTGCTTCGAGTTTTGATAGTATTTCCTCTTATTAAAATTGTGGCTGTGATTCTGATGAATTGAGTTTGGAACGTGAAAGATGAAAATTAATTTCAAATTATTCCAAGAATTATATATAGAAAGATAAAAGGATTAGCTCTCGGTATAGATTTCTTGAATAGAATTTTGTGCATAGGTATTTACCCTGGTAAAGATTTACGTACTAATCCATGTTTTCTTTTTAATTTTTATTGACGAATCTCTTTATGTTCTCGAGTCAAATTATCTGACAACGCGATATCGACATAAACTACCGTTTGCAATTTTTTACATAGATATTTACCCTGGTAAAGGTTGAGATGTTTCTTGTACAAATCCACAGTGTTCTCGCAACTTTAATTTACGAATCTTCACGTTCTCGAGACAAAGGTGACAACGCGATAAATCGGCGTGAACTTGGAAATTCCGGTATTATCCGGCTTTCCACTCTTCTCTTGGGAAATGTGTAAAAACGGCATTGCCTCCTCCTTTTTTGCTCCCGTGTCTTCGTTCGTTTCGGCGCTCCGGCTGAAGTTAATCGACGCTGCAAAAGAGTTCACCCAACCGGCGACTTTAAAATACGGCCGGCTTTCGTGGCTCTGACCATTAGCAGGCGGCGCGGTTAACCTCAAAAAGTCTACGAGGTCGGCCTTCCGTCGGCCTTCCGCGGGCAATTTTACTCCGGTGTATGAGGAAGGGTGGCCGAGGAAGGAGGTCGACCGTTCGTTCTTTTTTCACGTACCCTTTCCGGTCCCTTGGCCGAAAAGGAGCGATCTCGCGCGTCGTTATCAGAAGCGCGGGTAACGACCGCCTTACGATAGTTTTCCCTGTCTCAACACGAAAGCTGCAGTAGAATGACAATGCGATTCTCAAGCGAGACCTCTTGTCAATATCGGAAAATATGCTGTTTTATAGAAACCGTATTGCGAAGATTTTCGCGCCTACTCAAGTTGAAAGTTTTAATTCTGCGTTATATATTTTGTCCTGAAGTCAGTTCCTGGTTGCTTCCTCGTCAGACGCTCAGTGGTCACACATGAAAAATACAAATCATATAATACATATGTTGTATCTCAAATATTAATTCGTATATATACTATAATGAAATTATTCAAATAACCAAGAAAATATTCTTTGTAATGTGTGAAAATAACTTAAGAGAAGAAAAGTAAGCTGAATAATCGCCTTTCTTAGCAGTAGAATATTTTTTCGTATGTGCGCGTGACACATTTCGATCTTACTGCCCGTGCAACATGATAATTTAATAATATAATTATCATATAACTGCCACGAGAATATAAAATATTTTGAGAGTATTGATTGTCGTGATCTTCCGACGCACCGAGTAGAGTACGTCATTGTTTAGCGGACGACTGGCAAAAGATGACTTTGTCAGTCGCCGATTGTTTTGGTAGCTCGCGCGCTGCGAGCACTTGTCCGTGATCATTACGTCTCGAACCGACGCGCGCGCGCACACACACACACACACACACACACACACACACACACACACACACACACACACACACACACACACACACACACACACACGTTGCGACGCGAAGTACACGTATCGGTGCGTTGTTTACGTTTCACGTTGCATGGTTAGAATATTTCGTCGGCTATTGAAATATTTAATCGGCATCGCGTTAATTAACATACGTTTCATCCATCGAATCGTATTCACGCGAGTATCCTGTGAATGGCTGGAAGCAGCTAGGGATAAGATACTGGATCGGACGGATCCTGACTGAAGTCAGGACGGAGGACCAAGACGCGAGCAAAAATATATCTAATATA